CCCCCCCACCCTTGACATTGTTTGCTGCCTATTACGTTTAGGTGAATTGTTCTCTTTCTGGTTGGAAGTAAGAGTAGAAAATGTGTGTTTGGAGTGAGTGCATGAGATAAATGTATCTGAAAAGGTCAAAGCTGCGGCAGACTCTCAATTTTCGCCATGCATTTTTGTTTTGTTTTGGTGTGTTCTTCCATGCACGTTTCTCTCTCTCTTTTTTTTCCAACTCATTGGTGCGTGTTTGCATTAGATAACTACGATTTCTGTGTGTGGTAGAGGCCATTGCTAAGTCTGTCTTCTCAATTTGGTGACATCTCTATTCGTCTACAGGGAGTGTTTAACACAACTACTGCACCATGGATATTTGTTGAATCTCTGCGGTATAATTATATAATACAGTAGGCTTTTCACATAAAACATAGAATAAAAGAATTACATTGATATATTGATCTTAGAAGGGCAATTTGGTTTACAATGGCAAACATACATACATGCATAAATAGGACTACATAATTATAAATTTACATTTAACCACAAATGCATACTCAAATAATCATAATGAGCTCTATTTTAAGTTTAAGTGTGCGACCCGTATAGAGAATATAGCCTCTTGTTTTCTTTTTTTTTTACCAATGACTTTCAGTTGATGTTAATGCACCAATCATTCCTTTTCCTTTGGAATTGGAATTGATATATATATCACCCATGTATATATACAATGTATATATATAAATAATATAGACACGAAATTGACTGCTGTCTTTCACTACAAGCACAGTCACAAGGGGACACGTTATCGTGTGGTTAGCTTGTGATGGTACATCTGAAAAGGCTGTCACCGCAATAGCATTAGCGTAACCGTATTGTGGATCGACAGTGCATGGGTCGGAGAGACCAGACCTAGAACCTGCATCATGCGATCTGTTTAGATTTGATAGTGTTGTTCTTTACCGTTCATTGCTTGTCTGCGGTTTCATTTTCTTTGTCCCCCCCCCCATCTTTAAAAATTTTTGGTGGCATGGCTTGATGTCTGGACAGGGGGAAAACGACACAAGTCAAAATTTTCCATTTTGTTGTGTGTTTTGATCTGTCGTCTAGCTTCCATTTTGTCCATCACCATTGCACATAATTTACCACAAATGGCTTTTGTAATCATTGTAATCACCTGTTAACTACATAGTAAAAAGCATTTGTTCATGGAAAGAACAACAGTAGTCCAAATAGGAACACTTGAGAGAAAGGCACTACTTTTGTCCGTGACTAGATCTAATGCAGTTTTTTCCTGGAACCAGTAGTCATTGATTGAGGAGCAATTTTTTACTCTTATATCCAGATCCAACCGTTTTTCCCTGTAAGGAACGGACTCTGGACAGTAGCTTACTTTCGGAGAATTGATTACACCTAAATGACTCATTGCAATTTTTTCCCCAATGAAAATGTGTTATGACATAGGTAAGCACATTCTAAACAGTTTACCTAAGTTTTATTTCTATAACTTTACTGGATGGACCCAGAGCTATTGTGTTGATATTCGAATAACCCACAACTCTCATAGTCAGAAAGCAGACAACTCTCATAGTCAGAAAGCAGACAACTCTCATAGTCAGAAAGCAGACAACTCTCATAGTCAGAAAGCAGACAACTCTCATAGTCAGAAAGCAGACAACTCTCATAGTCAGAAAGCAGACAACTCTCATAGTCAGAAAGCAGACAACTCTCATAGTCAGAAAGCAGACAACTCTCATAGTCAGAAAGCAGACAGCAGCTCCGGTCCTGGGGGAAGTGAAAGTCAAGTGTGAGGATGGTCGCGTATAATTGAACTGCTCGCGCACTCATTTGACCTTACGCAGTTGCGAGCGCCGTAAAACCCCTATTAAAACTGACAATTAATTAAACTGCAGGTGGTAGGAGGGCGCCCCTGGTAGATCCTATCTCTACTTTCCCTCTGCTGTTTCCGTCTGTCTGTCTTACTCCCCCCCCCCCCCCCCCACCCACCCCAGCACTGAATGACCGTTTTTGTGTCGATTTGCTTCTCTTTCCTCAAACAGACAAACTCAGTGGGTGATTGGCGGGTGTTCTGGTGTGGTTTTTTCCTTTTTTCCTATCAAACCTCTATCGCCCTTATCTCCCTTTCTTCTATTTTATGTTTGTTACTCTCTTGTAACATCTCTAATCTTCTGGCGCTCATATGCAGTTGCGAGCGCCGTAAAAAAACCAACAACAACCTCTACTAAAACTAAACCAAATCTCTAATCTTCGGCACTTATTTGACCTTATTGTGTTGCTAGTGCCGTAAAACACTTACTAAAACTCAAAACTCAAAACTCAAACAAACTCAAAAGTTAAACTGCAGCTAGACCAACAATGAGCATGATCTCTGTTTTGCTTCGCCAGGTGTCTCCAAATGGAATCGGAACGAAACGCACACCGGTACATCTTGGCGACCGTGGCTGTCGTCGGTCTCCTCTACTTGGGTTTCAACCTCTATTGTGAGTACTGTAGTGTAGCGTGCTGTGCGTTCTGTTGTCTTTCACCAAAAACTGGCTTTTGCTTACTCACATCATAATCACGTGGGCTCTTTTAAAATTCATGTACCTTTAACGCTTAGTATGCAAGGCCAGTTTATATGGCCCACCGCACGACTCGTTTGTTTAGTCGTAACAAAACTCTACCAAATCTTTATAAATCCAGCTCTTCTCTTAACATACTCTAATGCTGACTGTTTGGATCTTTCATTTCTGCTCAGTGTGATATTTGTCTGATGGGAAAAAAAGAGGTTAAATCGGAGAGGAGTTATGTGGAGGCTTTTGGAGCAGCAAACTTAAGACGGAATAACCTTGGTATATCTGTGTTGTGTTGTAGAAGAATATTTATCGTACGATATCAGGTGGAAAGCACTGAATTTCTTCATTAAAACACGTCTCATTCTTTCTCTCCCCTCCCCACTCCCCGAACAAAACAACCGTAGGTGGGTGAAATTGTCGAATTGCTATCAGCAGTTTTAAAAAAAAAATATCTTGAAATACTATACTTAAAGGGAGAGCGGTCACGACGTTTCGTAATCTGCAGTTGGTCGGAAGACGCCACACTCCGGGTTTGGCGTACCCGTATTTCTTTTCTAACCCTTCTCTTATTTCCTTCGGTCAGTCCCTCTAGCTTTTTCGCTGTACCAAATTACTTTTTATTTCTTTGATGCACTTCCTAAACCAGGGTTGGGTTGATTTAAATCAGTTGATTTTTTAAATTTAAATCAACTTGATTTTTTTTTTTAAATCAGTGATTTAAATCACTTAAAAATTTTTAAAATTATTATTCAGTTTTTACACATTTACACATTCGGAATTCCTTTCCTTGGTTTCATAAAACAGATATAAGGTTTAGTAGACTAATATAATCATGCTTAAAAGTCTGCTTTCCCTCCTTTCACTGTAGAATAATACAGTATTCAATTTACTTTTTTTTTCCATAATTGAAATCAGAGCTGGGTTGATTTAAATCAGTTGATTTTTTATATTTTAATCAACTTGATTTTTAAAATAAAAATCAGTGATTTAAATCACTTTTCAAAAAAATTTATTCAGTTTTTACATATTTAAACATTCAGAATTCCTTTCCTTGGTTTTATTAAACAGATATAAGGTTTAGTAGACTAATATAATCATGCTTAAAAGTCTGCTTTCCTCCCTGTCACTGTAAAATAATACAGTTCTCAATTTACTTGTTGTTCATAATTGAAAACCAGGGTTGGGTTGATTTAAATCAGTTTTTAAAAAAAAACTCCGTGATTTAAATCACTTTTTAAAAATGTATTCTGTTTTTACATTTTTAAACATTCAGAATTCCTTTCCTTGGTTTTATAAAACAGTGTCACTGTAAAATAATACAGTTCCCAGTTTACTTTTTTTTTCATAATTGAAAACCAAGGTTGGGTTGATTTAAATCAGGTCGATTTAAATCAGTTGATTTTTAAAAATTTAAATAAAATCAACTTGATTTTAAAAATAAAACTCGGTGATCACTTTAAAAAAAGGTATTCTGTTTTTACATCATTAGACATCCAGAATTCCTTTCTTTGGTTTTATAAAACAGATATAAGGTTTAGTAGACTAACATTACTTAAAAGTAAAAGTCTGCTTTCCCCGTAAAAACACGACAGATAATATCAAAGAAGTTTTATAATACATGTTTTAGTTCTCTGTAGATGTGCATATTATTTTTATGAAACAAATGGTCCCTTTTCTGTACTCTCCTTTTTTAAATCGTTTTTCCTGTAGCGTTTAAGACTACTATATTTAGCTATTGTTGCTGCCGAAAACACTTATCGATTTTGTTCATATTTGCTGAAATTACAGCATTGAATTATAGCGATGGTTTTTAAAAGTTCTACTTGTATTAGTATTTTTAAAAATAAAAGTCTAGTTTTGTAGATCTATTTGAAAAATAATTTTTGACCGTAAACGTTAAAGACATTATGATTGTTTGATAAGCATTTTTTTCTTTAAATGTTTTGAAATGTGTGTGAACAAATAATGAATTTAAAGGACATAATGCCACCCCAACTAATTTTTCTTTCCCTCTGTTACATTTCATGTTTTGACCGTATTGTTGTGTCCTGTAACGTTTAAGACCATAGCGCACTGGTCTAAACTTCACTTCCGTTTCCAAAGAAACCAAACAAGCTTTAGCTTCAGCCGTGTAGAGATCAAAACTAGACATGTCGAAGATGTAGTGAGTACATTTTCAAGTTATTTGGTTGGATTCTAAAATTTGATACCCGTGTTACGGAAAGTTCAAGCTTTCAGGAGAATTGCCCATAATTATGTTTTTACGAGTGAATTACTCCCTCAGAAATAGTGGACAATATCCGCCTGACTTCAAGGATTTGGCGTGCATTTCAATAGTGATGTGTGATGAATTAGTCCGATAGTGAGACGTTATCCAGTCTCAAAGGCGAAGGCTTTCTGTAGGTGATTGAGCTCCACGGAAAAAGAATATCGATTTTATTCGCCGTAAAAACAACCGCGGTCCCGGCTTGATTCACAATTGCATTGCCAACCGTCCAAATACCATTCACTAGCTGCCAGCCCTAACTTACGCTCAATACATCCTAGGGCGTTCCTCTTGAGTATTATAACCTTCTTCCGCGGACCCAAAGGGCTCCTCCTGACTGACCCATTCTATCGTCGGTACAGAGGGGAGGGCCCTTTTGTTTGAATCGCCTCTCCTTTCACGCCAATTAATCTCACATTCTGAACGGGTTCTATTATTTCGCGGGGGTTTCCATAGCGAGTCGAGTGTTTGCGGCCCTTGGTCTCCCGGCACTCTTTGTAAGATTGAGGGAGGGGAAGTTTTTTACAATGATTTCTTTAAAAAATACGTAGACCTTTGTGATAGTAGTACAAGAAGAAATAAATAAAAGACGCGTCAGCTGTACTACTTCTTCTTCTTCTTCTTCTTCTTCTTCTTTTTCTTCTTCTTCTTCTTCTTCTTCTTCTTCTTCTTCTTCTTCTTCTTCTTCTT